GGGAGTTTTTTTTTAACTAACTATTATTATTATTATTATTATTATTTTATTACTAAAATGATTATTAAGGTTGATTAGATATTACATCGTGAAATTTTACTAATCAATCACCTTATATCTAGTGTCTAGTTTTAAAAAACAAACTCATTATTATTATTCCTACTGTATCACTAATATGTGCTTAATGTATAGAGAACTGGAAGTAGGACCTAAGAAGAACAGGATTTTCTTATTCACGCATCAAGATCAACAATACAATAATTTAATAAAGCATTATGTAATAAGTTTAATATAAACCGTTATTAATACGGGCTTGAACAATCACGTGAAATAGTTATCGATTAGAACAGTAAAGCTTCTGTGTACAAACAATTTTATACTAACAAGACAAGAAATTGTTGTACTATTCATCCATTTTATTTTTATTTAACACATTATCATAATTCAATATTAGCCGATGTATTACTCTGAAGATAGAGAAAACGACACAAGATAAACACAATGATTTGCAGAAGAAATAAAAACCAGTCGAGTATATCACGCCTCTTATCGACTAAGCCGGGAGTAATATTAAGATTGATACTTATGGCAAATATGGTGTTAAGTTGAAACCACAACCGCATAATGCGATCCTGATCTGTTCGTATCACCTGACGCCGATGATCGAGAGACGTGTAGCGCGACGGCATCAACATTGTCGGTCACAGGATCATCATAGATCTAATTATTAAAATAATGCTATAAGATAAAGACTTACATAAAAACATACAGTATATTTAAATTCAGGTTCAAATAAGTTGACACACCTGTATATTTTAATTAAGGATTATAAAATTTGGTTATTCCCAAAGCATGAGGGTGCCGACTGCAGCATTTTTCCTCCTCCCCTTTGAACACGGTTCTAGTGATTATTGTGTCCTTATTAAGTTGATCATGTATCTGTTTGGCGCTTGGGCGTCGATCTGGGTTCTCGATCCAACATTGCTGGTATATCTCTATATACC